CAGGCGCAGCACAGGCGGCATGGCATTTTATCTAGGTGACAGTTTGGTCACTTGGACATCACAGAAGCAGAAGACGGTGGCATTATCATCCTGCGAGGCAGAATTTATGGCGGCAACTGCAGCAGCGTGCCAAGGCTTGTGGTTGAGGAGTTTAATCAGCGAGGTGATTGGGAGTGAGCCCAAGCCGGTCACACTCTTCGTTGACAACAAATCCGCGATTGCCTTGATGAAGAATCCCGTTTTCCATGGAAGAAGCAAACATATCGACACACGCTTTCACTTCATTCGAGAGTGTGTTGAGCGAGGACAGATTAAAGTGGAGTTCGTGAGCACGAGCGAGCAGCGAGCGGATATTCTCACGAAGGCACTAGCAAGGGTGAAGTTCATCGAGATGCGGGAGCTTCTAGGAGTAAGGGACTTGGAATCTCGTCCAGATTAAGGGGGAGAATGTGAGTTGTAATCAGTCCAAGGATTGTTAGTTAGTAGAATTCTAATTAGAGTAGAATACTAGTTAGTAGATAGGTTTCTAGTTATTGGATAAGATTAGAATTGCAATCTTAATCCTATATATATATGTAAACAATTGTTGAGTTTAGTATAACGAAAATAAGAGAATATCAGAATTTCTCCACCGAAAATAAAACCTCTCTGTTCTCTTTTCCTCTCTCTGTTGTTGTTCGGCTATTTGCAAACAGGTGTTGTTCGGCTTCTTAAAATAATCAGCCAGGGAAGTTTTGGTTCTCTCAAAGCAGAGGTCTTGAAAAAAGTTCCCAGCAGAGCAGAACACGTTCTTTGTTCTTGCTGGTTGTTCTGTCCAAAATCAGCAAAGAAAACTTTGCCTTCCAGGTTTCTAACTCAGTTTCAGGTCTGTTTTTCTGGCCGATCCTGATCGGTAGCCAACAGTTCTGTACTGCAGTTTCGGTGTTTAATGTGCTGATGATTTATACGATGGAGCTGTTTCCGACTAGTGTGAGGAACTCTGCGGTGTCGATGGTGAGGCAGGCGCTCGTGTTCGGGGGAGTTTTTGCACCGTATATTGTGGCGGGCGGGAGGAAGAGGAGGTTCTTATCATTTGGACTGTTTGGATTGGATGTTGCGGGATGTTCGCGGCTTTCTTGCCGGAGACGAGGGGAAGGGGAATAAGAGACACAATTGACGAAGAAGAGGTTAAGACTTGATTTATCGACGATTAATCCATGAGGTAAACGAAACGCCTGAGTCATATTTTGACTCATATGGTACGAATAAGTGAAAGAGGCTTCGTTTGTACGAAGAAAGCGATGCCATAAAAAACAAGTTCTCCCCTTTAAGAATTGCAATGAAAAGCAAAGTATCTCCTCTTAATTAGAAAAAATCATTGTGTTAGAAAAATTGTAACAAATGAAGGGTGTTTGGGGGAACTTATTTTTTGGGTCAAATTAGCTTTTAAACTAGCTTTTTAATATCTATTTGTTCGGTAAAATATTAAATAAGTAAACTTATAAATCCCATTTTGAAAAGCTAATTTATCCTAGCTTTTGCAAAATTACTATATAAACTCATCTAAATAAGCTAGATTTAACCAAAAAATATATTATTCTTCATAAATAATTTTATCGCATTTTTATCATAAAAGCTAAAGCTATAAATAAAAGCTAGCATAACTTACAAGTTTCAAAGAATAAGCCCTCCCAAACACCCTCATAATCTACGTCCAGCATGAAACGAATTTCTCTCTAATATACATTGAGTAATCATCGATGAAAGTGATCATGTACCAAAGGCTACTTATTGATTCTTGCTTCACTCGGCCAAATACATCTGAATGCATGAGCTTCAAAAGTTCCTTTACTCTAAATTGTGACTCCTGGTATAGTAATTGATGCTCTTCACTATGTTGATAACCATCACACATAGTCCCTCCTTGAATCTCTAAGTGTGGAAGAGCCTTCAATATTACTTTTTCTATTATGATCTTGAGCTTGTGATAGCTTACATGGTCAAATCGAGCATGCCACATATCAGCAGTCTTATTTTCTGAGTTTTATCTATGTATGCCAATTCCGTCGATATTACATAAATAGATTCGACTCTTCACCCTACCATGACAGGTTTTCCTGGTGGTTTCAAGTTTTGATAGACTTTTACATCTTGAAGTCCAACTACTACATAATTTTTGAAAGCTGTTCATTGGGAAACGGATAGGGGGTTCTTTTTCATACCCAGTACATAATATACAACTAGTAGTTGTATTTGATTTGGATTGTAGCACGATATAAACACAGAGCTTCCAATGTGTGTGATAGGCAATCATGAATTATTTGCTATCACAACTTCTCGGCCATCTCTATACTCCTTCATATTGACGACCTTGCCCTTGTCTCCCGTCATGTGGTTGGAACAGCTAGAATCGATGATCTAATCTTTACTAATTTCTTCCCGATCTGAAACTGCTGCAATGCGGACTTATATTGCTACACAATTAAGGTTAGTGTCATATCAATGACCTCCTCTTCGCAAATCGGTGCTTGTTCGATGTTGTCCATAGATGCTTAGGTGTCCCAATCTTCTTCATCGTCTTCATATCTGTGTGCTATTGTAGCATTGCTCTCCATCTGTCTTCTCTTGTAGCGGCAATCTCGAGGAAGTGATCTTTCTTTCCAACCATCAGGTTGTCTTGCTTGGCGATTATCTTGCTTCTCCCTCTGTTATGATTTTTCGGTATGGTCTTCTTGGCTGCCTCTTTGAGCCAACCTTTGTGTACCGCTCTTTGCTCATGCCTTTTGGTTGTCTCTTTCGTTGTTGTTGAGCAATGCTTGGTCTTCACTTTTTATTAAAATGCCAGCTATTTGTTTGTCTAGTGTCTCCTATGTAGCAGGCAAGCTCTCCATCAAATAGTGTTGGTTGAGCCGAACAACGGTGTATAGCCGCAACAAGCCTGTGGTACTCTAATCTTAAACTGTTGATGATTATTCTTCTCATCCTTACATCCAACACTCTAGAATCTCGATCAAGCGAAGCAATATCTGAATAGAGTGTTTTCACTTGCTTGAAGCACTGACTAATTATCAGATCTTTCTATTGCAAGGTCATCAATTGATTCTCAAGGACCTGTCAAGCGTTGTTCTTCTTCAAGAAGAGTGTAGCGAGTATATCCCATGCCTCATTTGGAGTTTTGACATCTTGCATATAGTCTACGTGATCTTATTCTACTATCATCGTTAGCACATACATGGCTTTGCTAGCATTTATATTCCATCTCCTTAGCACTTCACATGTTTCCTGAGGTGCTGAGGATTCGATACCACCAACGACCTCCCAGAGGTCCTGTTCTTGTAAACATGACTTCAAGCAGGTCTTCTAATAACTGTATTTATTATCGTTAAGTTTCTTAAGTGACACAGTAGTGTTTGCTAGATCCGTCATCGTGATGTGGTATTGCTTTAGTATCTCCATGTAAGTTTAATCCCCGACCAACCAACTTCATAGTCCCAGACTGAGCACGAACTTCAGCCTTCACGAATGCTAGTATGATTGTCATAGGAGAGAGCATATCCTTGATCGCGTGCTCTGATACTAAGGGTGGAAATGAACTAAATAGGTAACAAATAGTTAGATAAATGTTCGAATAACAAGTCGACCATATTCGATTCGATAGTTCATTTACCACTAAACAATTTTTTTTAGTATTTGAGTTTACTAACGAATAGAATTTAACCAGATGTATATTCGATTCGTTTGTCTATCAAATATTCGTTTAAAATTTGATCACTTATTATTTGTATTATTACACGTATGATGTCATATTTTTAACCTACTTACCATTTCAAAGGAATATTTTTTATTTATGAATTTAAATACTATTTAAAAATTAAATTCTTTAGCGAAATAAATATAATTTGATATTCGATAAGTATTCATGAATATTTATCAAATATCAAGTATTCGAGTTCGAGTTTGAAAAACTCCATATATGAATATTAGAGTCCGCATTTGAATTCGATAATTTAAACAAAGACAAATATGAACACCTTAGTATTCGATTTGATTCGATCGTTTACCACCCCTATCTGATACCACTTGTTAATTTGTGAGAGTGGCGCTGATAGCACTTGTTGAGTTGAGAAGAGTGGTGGATACTAAGAAATTTATTATTATTATTTACTTAGTAGTACAACACTCAATACTCTCTCTAATGCAAACACTCTCTCTACTCTGAACTGCTACACTCTTTTACAACACATTACTCTTTATTTTATTCTCTCTCCCTTTCGTTATTTCTTTCACTCACTTTTTATTCTTGCTCGTTGGCTTGTTGCTACTAGGATGAGATGAGTACAACAAGCTATCATAGCTTATATAGATCTCTTATGGTTCCGTTTGTTTGCACGTAAGTAATTATAAAATAGCTAATGTAAAGAAAGTAGAGGCTACATTTGATACTTCCGAGCAAAAAAACATATTTGTTTCTCTGAAAAATCTACTTCTAACACTTCCTTAAATGTTGATGTGGCGCATACATGCCATCCTTACTTTTTAAATGTTTTCCACCACCTCAAGGCTCGGAAGTAGCCTGGAAATAGGTAAAATGTGTATTAATTAGGAAAAAAAAATAATTTTTCCCTTTATTAGTTACTTCCTTATAAATTTCCACTGCTATCCAAATAAAAAAAGAGAATGAAGAATAATAAGTACTATTTCCACTATTTCCCAAGTATATGTGAAATAAACAAAAAAAAATGTTACTTCAACTAGTTACTAATTTATAAATTTAGAAGTTAATCTATTTCCTACTTCTAGTATTTTTGTTAAACCAAATGGGTCCTAAAACGGTGGGTGAACATTGTAGGGAGTTGGTACGTAATAACTTATTTGGTGGTAGGTGGATGATGTTGGTGACATAGTACTGCTGACTCCAACACACTCTTTAGTAACAAATCATGCGTTTAATTAAAATCTTTTAACAAAGATAACGCTTCCGAAGATTAAGATCTTATCAGGTATCTTAATCATTCTTTCGGGATTATATAGTTATGAAACTGAGATCTGATCTCATATCTACCGAGTACCCTCACATTTTTTTGAACGGGTCCATCTCTCTAAGTTGAGTTTCTTCTTTATTTCTCTCTTTACTCTATAATCTTAATAATCTTAATTAGTATTGACCTAAAAAATGGCTGATGAAGCTCCTCCAACAGAGAAGAAAACATCATCCATCGACGATGTTATTGAGAGCTGCATCGGCTCAACAGGCATCTGCCAACTTTTGCAGGTAAAAGTCTTTTTCTTAATTAAATTATTAATCTCTAGTTTGTAGTTCATCAAAGCACCCTTTGTTTCTATATTTGCTTTGACACAATCTTTAAATTGCTAATTACGACTATTTAAAGGATTAATTTGCCCCTTAACAAATTAGGTGCAGATACTACTAAAGATAGAACGTTATAAACTCTAATTTCTAATAATAATTATATAAAAGAATAACAATCTAAAGAGAGGATTTTTCTGCCATGCCCAAAACCTACAGTCCATTCCACCTTGGTTTTACTTACCACCAGCTCGAAAAAACTGAAGTTTATGGCCATCAGTTTAATCATCATCATCCACTTGACAACTAAAAGCTTAAAAAGATGATTAATCTTTCTAATAATCGATGTCTTTGATTTGTTTTTTCTGTTAAGTAAAACTCGTAAGTAATTTTTTTTTTCTTTTGAAAAATTTAGTCTTTCCATAACTTTATGATTTCGTGATCTCCATTAGCTGACGGAATCATAAGAACGTAAACTATACATAAAAATAACTCCTCAATTATTGTAATTAACTTTGTCACTATATTATAGGTTTTATCTTTTTTCTTTTAATGGATGATTGTGGACTAAATTCTTAGACAAAGGTAAAAAGCTTCAAAGTATCATTGAATATTATAAAGCAAAGCGACACATCTGGACATGGATATGGATGATTACTTTGTGACAAAAAAATTTTTTTTTACGAAGATTATATGAACTTAACCCTTTCTTAAAATTGAAATTTCAATTATGGTTACGATGAAAGAAATATATAGTGTTATATGTATGTATATTTCGTTGGAGATTTAGCAACTTGTGCAGATCGACCCTTAATTGGACGAGGCGATGCAAACTCTTTTCTCGTACTTCCTTTCTAGTACAGGAACTAGAACCATGCCCAGACAAAGGAAATGATCATATTTTTAAAAGTTTTTATTTGGAAGGAGAATGAGGGAGAGGATTTCCTTTTGGATTAATTTCACAAATTAACCCCCTGAACTTTTGGGTAAAACCCCCGACTTTTTTAAGTCCTACAATTTCTCAGGAACAGATATTTGTCAATCACAAGTAGGGGAATAATTTTGAAATTCTGCAGCGGGCTCTAACAATAAGACTTCCCTTAGATAGATTGATTAAGCTAGTTTATTGATGGTTAGTTACACAAATAATAAACTAATAAGCGTTTTTTCTTAAATTGAATCTCTAGATTAAAATTTCCGATTCCCTTTTGCAGGCGATGCTTGTGGTGTTGGCATGGGTTTTCGACGCGCAACAAACCTTCGCCAACGTATTCACTGATGCCAATCCATCATGGCACTGCACCAATAAGAACGACTCATCATGCCTTTCTGCTAAGAGCCCCTGCGGCTTGCCCCGAGGCTCGTGGTCGTGGAACGAACCTAAGCACGCATCCATCATATCTGAATGGAGCCTTCAGTGCTCTCCGCCAATCATAGTTGGATTGCCTGCATCTGCATTCTATTTCGGATGTCTAGTCGGTGGTCTAGTCCTAGCTACGGCCGATTCTCGACTTGGTCGGAAGACAATGCTTGTGATTTCCTGTCTCGTAATGTCCCTAGCTGCCGGTTTGGCAGCGTTATCTCCAAACGTGTGGGTCTATTCAGTCCTCCGATTCTTCTGCGGGGTTGCACGGGCAACTGTAGGTACGAGTGCTCTCGTTCTGTCTACAGAGATGGTTGGTAAAAAATATCGTGATAGGATTAGCGTAATGAGTTTCATATTCTATAGTCTTGGATTCTTGTCTCTCCCCGGGATTGCTTATTTGAACAGAGGCTTGTCATGGGGGAATATTTATCTATGGACTTCAGTTCCTTGTTTCTGCTATGCCATTTTGGTTTACTTCCTGACCTGCGAATCTCCAAGATGGCTATTTGTCCGCGGACGAAAGGATGAAGCAATCAGCACACTAAAGCGTATAGCAAAATCTAAGGGACATATCATCAATGTTGACTTTTCAAATTTGTCAATCCCCGAAGAAAAATTTAGTGTCGGTATGCTGTCCGCGTTGAATACACTGTGCAAAAAGAGATGGGCGTTCAAGCGATTAACAATGGTAATGACAGTAGGCTTTGGAGTCGGGTCAGTGTACTACGGTATGCCACTCAACGTAGGCAATCTAGGCACAAATCTCTACCTAAGTGTCGCATACAACGCCTTAGCTGAACTTCCTTCGTCTCTATTCTTCTTCTTCTTCATGGACCGAATCAGTCGAAGATATACAACCTTAGTCCTCACTTTGCTAAGCGGAGTAGCTAGTATCTTGTGCGTGTTCTTGACTGCCAGAGGATGGCAACTGGCAATGGAGGTTCTCTCGTTCTGTACTGCAGTGTCTGTATTTAATGTGCTGATGATTTACACAATGGAGCTGTTTCCGACTAGTGTGAGGAACTCTGCGGTGTCATTGGTGAGACAGGCGCTCGTGCTCGGGGGAGTTTTTGCACCCTATATTGTGGCGGAAGGGAGGAAGTGGAGATTCTTGTCATTCGGAGTGTTTGGATTGGCAGTCGGATGTTGTGGGATGTTTGCGGCTTTCCTGCCAGAGACGAGGGGGAGTGGAATGAGGGACACAATTGAGGAAGAAGAATGTTATGAGCAGATTGCATCGTTCGATATTAATCCACGAGTTTGCCAATGACACAGAGGAGCCTATAAGATGATCTTGATCTGTAGAAAATAGCAACGCCAATAAAAATTAGCAATTTTCACTTCGTAGAAAATTGTAAATTTGTATTGTATTTGAGTTAGAAAGCTCTTAGCAGATAATCACCCCCTGCGTTTAACAATGTTTTTTCTTCAGTCTATGGTTACTTTTGGGACAAGGTTGAGAGGGTTTCGAAGTAAAAACAAGGCATCCACAAAGATCAATTGAGTCATGATATCTGATGCTAACCTGCTTGATCTGTAAGACCTATAAAGAAATGAACTATCCAGTTGGCAAAAGAACACTCTTTTTTAAGTCGAGTGTTCGCATATTCGATCATTTTTTTTAATATGGACCTATAAGCTTAAATCAAGAGACTCCTAACTATTAGTATCATGTGTAAGAATAAACATGATTTTCAGTTCAAAAATAAATCCTTCATTGTTGTGCGCGGCGGCCAAATTGTTTTGCTTCGAGAAACCAAACCAAACGTCGAGATAGAAGGTTAAACAATCCAAGATAACGGCACAAACACAAACACAAACAACCAATTTTTACGTGGTTCGGCAAGTTGTCTACGTCCACGGGCAAGAAAGGAATGAGTTTTTACTAATAGATAAGAAGAGTACAAACTGAGATTACAAATCACTCAAAACAACCAACTAATGTCACCAACAAATCTCTAATTCTCTTCAAACAAAACCCTAACTAATAGCTCAGAAAATACCTCTTTTCTGTGCTCCAAATATCCACTAACCAATGTTTAATCAAAGCCCAATCAAAGCCAAAGAAATTCTAAAAACGTGTCTCTATTTATAAATAAACACAATCACAAACAGATTTGGATTTTAAAAAACGAGTCTGCTATACCCGGGGGTGGCAGACACCACACCAAAACTCCACCTCGAAGAAGTTTTTACAATTCTCCACCTCGAAGAAGTTTTTCCAAAACTGAGCCGACACCAATCAAATCAAACGTCCCACTTGTTACGTTCAGTACGAAGTGGAACAAAACCACGACAACGGACTCAATCCACAACAAGTCGAGAACCCAAACGAGAATGCGAACAAACTCCAAATATCGGTATCAACTCACCAAACCGGCTACATCATAAATGACTGCCTACGTATCCTTTTGTCCAAGGAATTAAGCTTTCACGTAGTTCACCCAACGGCCTCCAAAGTCCCTCAATCAAATAGAAGAGTTCTCAACCCTTCTCCAACATCACCAACGAATCTGCAACTGATAGCTCTCACAATGGCCCCAAAGTGAAACAATCCAAACACCTCCACCTGAGGTGAACCAACGGCCATAACCAAATGCGAACTATGTCCACCAGCTACACTCGAATCAACTAACTCATCATCTGCATCCAAATCCAAATGATCCCCAAACTATGTCACATCAGCTGGGATCTCAAACGATGTAGTATGATCTGGAGTATGTGGAGTAATCTGCACCCAACGTGGAGTAGAATCACTCTTCACCCGCTACGATATCCTAATAATCTGATCAACACTCTCCACCTGCTGAGAGTCAAATGTGACATGCCTGCTCAGAACAAAATCAGAGTCTCCCAACTGATAACCAAACGAGCCTATGAGTCCCAAATGTACAATTGGATTAAATCTCACATCCTCGATGTGACCAAATGCTGGGCAACCAAACATCTAACGCAACCCAAAATCTTAATCAGATCTACCATATCCAAAATCTCCAAACACAACAGTCGGTAACCTATGAACAAGATGACCCAAATATGTCGAAGCTCGAACACCAAAACCAATGTTCGACATCAAACGCCGATCCTCCTCCAGAAAGGAACGACCAATCAAAAATGTCATCTCATCTCATTGTCCCAATGTTTCCTCTCCAATAAAGCGTCTCTAACTGCCATGAGCTTGGCACAAACGCAAGAAAGGACCCCTATCAGAACTAGAACAACGGGTTACCTTTCTGCCAATATACTTCCTCCATCTGTTGTTGATTTCTAGGACTTCATACCAACAGGATTTGGTTGCAACCACAAATGCCTAGAATAATCACCAACAAGGAAACCAAATATTGATTACCTCCCAATGATGCCTCTTTGAAAGGCCCCCAAATGCGTGAATGAACACCACCTAAAAGACCCATCGATCGATGGATAGAAGTACCAAACTCCACTTTAGTCTTCTTGCTCATACCAATGTGCTCATAGGACTTCAATCTGCAGGTCAAAGTATTCCTCAACAAACCATGCACGGCACAACCAATCAAATAACTCAGGCTCAATAAATGCCATAGTCTAGCCAAATCCAAAGAAGTCGTCAGCTCTCTACCAATTACCGTGCTTCCAATCAAATAATACAAATTCTTTCTCCTGACGCTCTTTATCATAATGATGGACCCAAATGTGACCTTTAAACATGCATCATCTAAGGTCACCCTATAGCCAGCTGTCTCCAAAACTCCAATCGAAATGATGCTCTTCTTTAACTGAGGAACGAACATCACTTCATCCAACTCCCGAATCACCCCGTCACACATCCTAATACGAACGGTACCGATACCACTAATAGTACATTCATGATCATTACCCATGAGCACGACATCCCCTCTTTTCAACTCCTAAAAACTGGAGAACCAATCCCTCCTAGAGCAAATATGATATGAAGCACCCAAATCCAATATCCACTTTGTAGAGTCGACAATAAAAACTGACGGTATTATAAATAATGAGTAGCCCGAAGAATCCGAATCTGAATTGTCACCACTAGCCTTGACAACATTCACCTCTGAAGCTTTAATAGCTTTCCCCTTATTCTTCCCAGCTCGATCAAACAACTTTGGGCATTCAACTTTCCAATGTACATCCTCTTTACAAAAGGCACACTGATTCCTACAAACTTCAGGATGTGTCCCTGTAGACTGTGATCTCCTACCACGGTTTGGACTCTTTGCTCTTGCGACCAATGCCCCCATTACCGTCTTAACTGAAGTTTTCTTATCATTCTTTCAAAGCTGATAATTCACAAGTGTAGCGGTGACCTCACTATACGAAAGAGATGCATTCCCATTAATAAGAGAAAGAACGAAGGTCTCATATTTCTTGTTGGGCAACAAACTCAACAATAACAACGCATTATCCTCATCTTCAACCATAACATCTACATTCGCCAAATCCGCAAGAAGCTTCGTGTAGTGATTCATGTGATCACCAATGGAGGTCCCCTTCTTCAATTAGAAGCGGTAAAGCCTCATCTTCAAATGTAAGCGATTCTTCATACTCTTAGTCAAATACTTGCTCTCAAGGATCTCCCAAATCTTCTTAGCCGAAGTCTCATTGATCATATTATATTTTAAATCTTGAGTTAAACAAGATCTAATCACACTACACGCCATTCTATTCATCTTCTTGCAAACCTTTTCCTCGATGTTGTCCGGTTTCCCATCCAACTCTAATGTATCCTCCAAATTTTGCGTGTTGAGTGCATCCAAGACCTCGCATCGCCAAAGACTAAAATTGTTTGTGTCAATAAACTTCTCCACATCTATCTTCATAGAGTGGATATTTCTTGGTCATAATTCTCAAAGCATCAACAAATTAATACGGAACAAACGAAGAATAAATCCAAACTAAAAAAGAGAGATTTTTACCTCCAAATTGAAACACTAACAAGAGCCTCCGAAAGATCTCACCCCACACGATGGTAAACAAGATCACAAATAGTAAAAATCCTACATTTATCACCAACTAAAGCCCTAGATGAACTTCCAAAATGATCTACTCCTCCAAATAGCCCAAGCGTAGCCCGAGCTTTGATACCACTTGTTATGCGCGGAGGTCAAATTATTTTTCTTCGAGGAACCAAACCAAACGTCGAGATAGAAGGCTAAACAATCCAAGATAACGACACAAATACAAACAACCAATTTTTACGAATTTATTTTGTAAAAAAATTATTTATTTTGAATTAATTTAGTTTATGAACGTGTTATGGATGGTTGTTGACCGACATTTTATGTGCAATACATCTGCCGATTCCATGATTCTTATTATAATTACGTGACATATCATGTTTTATTTGTATAGAATTAGCTGTATTTATTGTTCTTGTTGTGTTTGAGAACCATTAGTAGTTTATGACTTAGTGGCCTTGTGCGTTATGAACAAGACTTAGTAACATGTGTGTGTGCGTTGACTGAATTTAGGAGGTGGACCAAAGATCTAGTTCAGGTTATGATTGTTGACTTAAAAAAGCGAGAAGAGTTGGGATGGGGAAGTCAAATAGGGCAGATTCTGCCACACTTGGGTGTGGCAGACACTACACCCATGTCAAAAGGGACAGATTCTACCACCTGGGTGTTGCAGACACCACACCAGGGTGTGGTGGAGTCTGTCTTGCTTATTTTTTTTACTTTTTCTCAAATTCCTTCGCCGTTTTCATATTCATGACAAATTCCTTAGCCATCATTGACTTACATCACTCCCTACCCCTGTTCGCGGGAAAAGTTGGTGTTTTCTTCATTATCGATGTCATTGCACTCAGTTAACAACTTT